TAAAAAATTGTTTTTCTTTTCGGGGGCCCTTTTATTTTACCTAATATTCGCCACCGTTTGCAAAAAAAATAACTGACTTACCTCCCACCCCCCCCCCCTTTAACCCCTAAATCAATTGAAAAAAAAACACCGTATAAGGAAATGAAATAGCATAAAAAAAGATTATGTTAAAATGTACTTGCACTTAACTTTGAAAGTGCATTGCACTTATAGTACTTCACTTAAAGTGCATGCTGTTTGGTGTACTTACTATTTTACTTGAAGTACATAACCTCTCATTTACTTTGTCCTTCACTGTAAGCACTTTTGAGATGTACTCTACCCAACACTGCTAAAACCTTTTTGTTATCACTAAACACAAAAACGTTTTACAAAAAAAAAAAAAAAGAACTATGAGGAACCATTTGCGAAACGAACAACTTGGACTTCATTGGCCATGCTCTGCATTTTGCTACGCGTGACCTAATTATTATATAATCTGGGCTCTGTTCACCTGAACTGACGCCAGTCTATCAGATTTTATAGTTCCCGTTGCGGTCGACAACGAAGCTCGCAGTAAGGCCGCTTGATTCCACATTGACCCCAGCTTAATCAACCAGTCCAGGAAGGGAGAGATTATTGGGTAATTTTGAAACTCAAGAAATGTTCGTGTATTTCGTAAAAAAAAAAAAAAAGAACAAAAAAACACAAAAAACATGGCTTTGTTCGCGAAGCTATTTATTCTGGTGTGCCGTAGGCTTGGCTAGAAAGAGGCCAGTCTAGGGACCACGCCCCGAACTGGCTTATAGTATAGTATATTGGTTTATATTTTCATGGATGAATGTATAATTGAATATTTCCAAACCTGTCGAGTCAGAAAGCGGCGCGCGCCTAGACACTTTGAAAATTTAGCAGACACTTGTTCGTTGGCACTGCCATCAGAGCCGTTTATCGAGAGAGTTTGGCCATACATTGGTTTGAATAGGCGAGCATCTCGGGGCCAACCACAGGCCGCGAAACAGCCCCTAGCGGTGGTCGTGAGCTCTAAATTTGTGACACGACTAATTCAAGCCGTTTTAGCGTCGCTAGAGTTAAAAGGTGTAACTCTCAGTGACTGAAAACTTTGTGCGTGCGAGGTTTTCGTCACGCCAATATTCAAGCGTAGAATAAACGAACGTGCGCTCCAAACCAGGGCCAACTGGGCCAACTTGCTAGAAACAGCGTATCAGCTGAGACGGTGAAAGAAAGCACTGCCAAAGCCAGCGCACGCGCCGAGCGGGACACCGCGTCTCCAGACGCTCGCGCGCCCCACCCTTTGCACTGTTTTCTTTCTGCCAGTCACAGGACGCTGTTCTAACAAGCCAACATCAGCAGTGCAGAGAAAGGCATGGGCACGAGCGTGTGGCTTTGGAAAGTGGCTCCTACGCACGAGTTTACGTACAAACAAAAGCGTTTTGCTGAGCTAGGCTCACGTGCCTGTACCTTTGTCTTCACTGCCGACATTTGTGAGATGGAGCAGAGAGGCCGAGATTGAACGCCTCTATTTCACGCTTTGAATGTCGTTTGCAATATTCTGACGTCGCGGTCTCCTGATTGGTCCACGCTGTGTCACAAATTTAGTTCACGTTCTAAGCGCGGGGGGAATATTCGGCGCTGGCGGCGGCCTTTGCTCCGCCTGTTGGCCAAACTCTCCCAATACACGGCTCTGACTGCCATCTGTCGGCACTGCCATCTGTTGGCAGTATGTAGAAACTCGGAAATCTTGTCCTGCTAATTTAGCTCCATCGCTATCTCAGTCGCTTCGGTATCTTTAAAAAGAAAGGGCGGGCCCGTAACCCCAGTTGGCTCGTGAAAATTTCGGCTGGGATTCTGAGAATCTGGTGGTGGATTACTGCAGTCTAGGCGCAGAGAAAAGGTTTGCATGTACAGTTTTGTTTTCCACTAACCCGAAACCACAAAATTTCTTCAGCAGTTAGCTGTGGCAGGAGTATGTGTTGAGACGCTTCCGTGGGTTCTGCATAATTCCGGTAGTGCGCGTCACGCCTTGAGATCTTGGTGCGTACATTGTGCATGGTGACTGAGGGAATCGTCAGGGGGAGAAGATGGAGGTTAATCGCGCACGTTGTTTATTGACTGCTTTGTGAAGTCGTGGTCTCATACACCCTCAGCACTGTCCATTGGAGCTTTATGAATGGTCCGCCCCATAACAATAAGAGGAACGTGGGGAGCAACACCGGCTGCGCGCGCCGACAATTCGCCCAAGACACCGCAAGCTTCCGGTCATACCTCGTCTAACTGCTTGCGCTCACTTACAACTTCTACTCGTTTATAATGCAATTAAATGCGAAGATTCTTGTTCCCCTTCTCCAGGGATTATTTTCGCCATTCTAGTCGTGGCGCCGAGCAAAGGTTTCGGGCTGCGGATCGAACGGAACGGAGTTTTATCTCTACTGCTCCGCTCGGTAAATCGCTCTTGTTACGATTAATTATCGAGTTATAATCACGTATGATCAAGTAACGAACTTTGTCTTCTATAGGTTGTGTTGGATTTGACATGTGTGTAACGATTTTTCGTCGCACTCGAGCTTAATGCTTTTCCCATAAAATCCAGCCCTAAGCACATTCTGAGTTAAAATTTTGTCGTCAAAACATATGACGGATAGAAACACGGAATTTCAGGCCGTACGCAAATTCATTCGTCGAGTTTTTTTGTGTTGTTTTTTGTTACATCTGGTGCTGTGATAATTGTTTCAGCGGGTGTCAACGAAGAAGAAAGCGCAGTGTATTTTGTGGTAGCGCGGAAGTGTAGGGTGGCACAAATCTCGAGGCTGATTCTAAGATCGGCCGGTGAAAATTGGGACCTGCATATACCAATCTCAATTTTTCACCAGAGATGTACTTCACTAGTGGATTTCACCTTGTGGAGCTTCAAGGCGTAGTTCCCTTCCCGTGAAAATTGAAATCAACAAACTTACCGGGGTCAACGGCGAACGTGGACGTCCGAGTTGGCGACTGTCATGCTTGTGGCGCCATCTCCCGATAGGCGCAGCGAGCCGATAACTCAGTCGTCAGTTTTCGACGCTACACTTATCGAGAGATGGCGTGACAAATACTACGTTCGCTGTACGGTGGTAGAGTAACTCTATACGGTCGTAGAGTAACCAAGAGTAGCTGTATATGCTCTGCTTGCCGAGTGGAGTATCGCAATGGTCTCTTTTTTCTTTGTTACTTTAAACATCGCGAGAGAAGCGAACTCCCGTCTTGGACGAGCAGTATTGCCAGATGGAAAAATATCGACGTCAGTAGATGGATCCCCTACATATCCCCTAGATCACCCAAACAATCAATAGATACTAAAAAAAAAAAAAAAACCTTTTGCATTTCCGACCGCTCTTAATAGATAATATAACATAATAAATATTATACTAATAAACAGACATAAAAATTAGATGTGATTTTGCTTGTCGCATTTTTTTTACTAGTTCGCATTTTTCAACGGCCATGTGAACATCACATACCTTGCAGAAAGCGAAATGATAACCTGTAATACTTTCCCACTCTGTATTATATTTTCGTATATACTTTTTCTTATTGGAGGTGGCCGGAGGGGTACGGTTGCCTCTATCTTAAGATTCGCCGCTCATTATCCTACTTGGAAGAAGCCAGGCAAAACCAAAACCGTATCGGTTTCGTAAGTAAGTGCGTACGAGGCGTTGCCTGTGTACGGCTTTTGGGTGGAAAGCTGAATGAATCGAGGGATACGCAGATACTCATGTATAGTTTCGTGTTTAAAAAAATTTACATGCGTTTGCTGGCTAATATGAGAGCCAGCGCTTCAAACTGCGTATTGTTATGCCCGTAGAAATGACCTTTCCTATCCATAAAAAAAACGTAAGCAGATTTTCTTTTTTATCAGAGAATCAGCAGACAGTGTGCGAAATCGGTAGATCTACTGAGAAATCAGTAGACCTGGCAGCACTGGCGACGAGTGCGACATGAGGTGCAATTCACCGCGCATGCGCTGTCGTGCGTCTCCCGGCTCCCTCGGAAGCGCACGCGCGCAGTTGGACGCGTCGTGTCGTCTGCTTGCTCACGGCCGCTTTGAAACTGCGCTCGCGTTATAAGAATAACGCAATTACACGTATCTAATTGACACACACAATGCCAGGAGGTCCATGATTCTTCCTGGTCGTTCATACTTCAGTGCAGTACATACATTTAGCGAGCGCAAACCGAAACGAATGTCCTGCCGCAAACACGGCGCCTTCCAGGCGGGCGCGAAAGTCAAATTTAATGCAAGTAACCCCTTCTTCGCCAATGAGGAGTCGGTGGTCTCACTTTTCGCCGTAGAGAAGGTTCACCTTAAAATTTCACGAGGTAAAATTCACCACAAAATTACAGCGTTGATGAAAATGTGAGATTGCTATGTGCAACTGCCGATTTTTACGAACAATCTTAGAGCCAGCCTCGGGATTTATTCCACCTGTAAATCGCCGGTAGCAGTCCAACGACAGTTCCGAAATGAGTGTGAACGAGATCTGCCAAATATTGAAAGAATCGAAGCTGGGCGTGGCTTTGATACTTCAAAGGCGAGCATGATAAATGTTACGATAACTGAGATGATTTTGCCTAACGCGTGGCTTGAAATTGAGTACCGCCTTCGGGCCACCCACTAGGCGCACGTTGAAGTAAACTAATAAGGTAAAAGTCCCTTTCCGTTTTAGTGACAGTTCTAAAATTAAATACCTACATACACACATACATATTTTTAAATCAGACAAGCGCTTTATGTTTAACCTGTATTACGGCCCCAAGGATGGAGGCACAAATTCAGCCTCGTACTGCCGTTTCCAACCTTGTCCCAGCAAAATGAATTATATGATATGATGTGTATCTTTATTTCAAACACCGGCTTATATCTGCATTTATGGTATCCTTTTGAACACAACGTATATCTGTTACCGATGTGTGTACAGTATACTAATACACATAAGAAACAAAAGAGAAAAGTCACCTTGAAAGGGACCAGCGTACAACCCATGACTGTATCAAACCTTTATTTCTGTGTTCCCTCATATCCAGGTTGAAACCAAGGTTCTCGGTCGATGGATGTCATGCGTTAGTTCGCGCATAGCTGCAATCAGCCTCCTTTAGCATTTTCTGTTTAAATATAAATTTAGAAGGTAACTTCCTTAACTGGCCGAGCTGCGATTCCTAAGAAAGAATGTAGTTTGATTTCCAAAAAGTGTCCGTAAAAATACCTAAGAAATTAAATTCTCGGTAGAAGAATTCGAACAAAGAGGGCTATTTTTGGTCAGAAGGGCACTTCGGTCACACATTGTAATGTCAGAGCAGATTCAAGACGTACCTTGACCAGATCTAACAAAAGCACGACGAATTTAGTATAAGAAAGATATAATCTGCGAGCAACCTGGTTTGCCGATCAAGAACGTAAGAAACGCAGAGTGGAAGGAATAGGGAGGACAATCAAGTTCTGCCTTATCACCTCTAAACAAGATGTCATGCCTCCACGATACGGAAGAAAGAAAACCCCTGTCACACATGTCGATTTACACATGCTGTTGTTTCTTTCACGATCCAAAGTGGCGCACCGCGCTGCAACAAACGCAGTAGGGCCCACAGAGGACGACTCCTCGGTAATGTCTGCTGACTTGCGGCCCTGGCGCCGGAAACATAAAACACACAAACACGGCAACAGTCTGGTCTGATTGTCCGCGCGAAGTGGTGCCATAGTCTGTTCCAGTCTCAGAGGCCGTCAGTCACCAACACGAAGACCGGTCACTACCCGTAACGTCACTGGCAGAGAGAAGTTCACAGCTCACAGGTGCGTAGCTTGAACGCAGTCTACACTCATAGAGCAACATCTGTCATGGTCATGGGTAGGCGGATCCCGGCAGATACAGAGGATTTCTAACACGGTGCGTGGGCAACCTCCCAGGTTGCATTATCGTCACTGCCCTACCCTGCAGGTAGCAACAGTCCGGCACCACGTCCTTGCGTTGAAACGAGGCGAACGCGGACGCCGACGAATCCGAGTAGCCCAGCGGTTTGTGAGCGTAGCCGCCCCTCTTGTGAAGCGCACGTAGATATGGAGCGAAGATGCCCACGAGCAGGAGAAACCCTGTGGTCACGAGTGAAAACCCGAGCGCGGCCACCTGCGGCTCTCCCTGTGCCAACAGCAGAAACGCAGTATGACCCGCTGCCAGCACAGGCACCGCCAGAAGACTCGTGCAGAGAAGGCTGCGGGCGTCCCTCCTGTGGTAGGCCGAGTTTCGGGTGCGGAAGGCCATGAGTACTGCGAGCGCGAGCACCAAGCACGGGTAAAGCTGGTGGAGCAAAAACCGTGCCTGGTTGAGCTGGCAGGCGCCCGGCGGCGAAAGCATCCATGCTTGGGCCTCGACTGCCAGTTGAACTGCCACCAAAAAGCAGATAGTGAGGAACTGGTTGAGGCCGCTGGCGCGGCCGCCCAGGCCGGCGCTCTGCATGGCGTTGAGGTGCATGCCCTTGAGGAGCAGGCAGCCGAAGGCGAAGGCGTAGCTCGTGTGGTGCGCGAGCTGCTGGGCCGCGCACAGCCGAGGTCGAGGTCTGAAGGTGAACAGCAGTCCCGCTAGGAAGAGTCCCACAACGGACAGGAGGAGGAGGAGAGAAGTGAGCTGGTGCCCCTTGCGGACGACGCCTTCGCAGAGCTTCATGAGGAGGAACACTGCCACGTACGCGCTCAGCAGAATGCCGAGTCCGGCAGCGACCACGATGGTGAGCGACCAGGGCTTGGCGATCCACACGGTGAAGAGTTTCGGCTGCGACAGGCGGACGGCGTCCGGCGACGTGGACGGGGAGTTTTCCGCGTCATTTTCTGCGGACGACGCCGGTGAGGGTGTCGGAACGTTGGAGGTTTCGCCCAGGTTCTGGGGCTCGGGGTCGTTCTGGATCTCCAGGTTACTCGAGCGCAAGTTTGACGAACGTTCTCTGGAGGATGGTCTGAGGCTGGTGGATGGTCTCGACGCGCCAGCATCACGTGGCGTGGTCCGACTTGGCACCAGCATCTCGTCCACTTCAAGGCCGCTGTGTTCTGTGTACCGACCAATCTGAAACGCAAATTAGAAATACTTTTACGTAACTTCAAACAGCAGCGAATTGTATCTTCTTTTTGGACATGTTCCATATGGTATGTTTTTCATTATCTTTGATAGCTTTTTTGACAAATCTGAATAATACTACCGTCATCACCGTCTCTAATGTATGGTCCAACTGACTGAACTATTATCGATATTAGCCATGGAAGATTAAGTAATAAATTTGCTAATTGTTGACTACTATATACCCATTTTGTGGGAATATTATATATCAACGCTAAGCACTGCGTAATAAAGGCAATAACTACAACACACTCACCTCTAGCACTTCTCCACTCGTTGATACGGCCTTGACGGTGTATCGGAGACTCGCGAGTCGCTTGTCCATTGAGAAGTGGAGCGGCGTTCCTTCGAGGGACGCTACTCCGGCACCCACCATGCTGTAGTCCAGGGACTTGAGACTGTCTAGCACAGACGTGCTGAGCCTCCCGCCGAACAGACAGTCGGTTCCACGACCACACTGCACTCTCTGGACAGCCCGAAGCGCGGCCGCCATCGCCCACACTGCGCGGATGACCGCTGCAGCCTCGTCGCCGCCACTGTCATCTTTTTCCCAGTCCTGGATGACTTCGTTCCTGGCGTAGGTCTTCCTGAGCTCCTGGAGCAAGGGCGTAGCGCCAGTTCCGTCCCGGTCCAGCAAGTCCTGCACGTAGTCCTGGAACTCGGTCGTCGGAGATTCGGAAGGGGAGACGAGAAGCACGTGCCGTAAACGCCGCAACTTCTGCTCGCTCAGGAAAGTGGGAAGCGAGGAGGACAGGTCAACCGCCGTGGCAAGAATCCAGGAGAAGGCGGCGTCCGGGTCTGGTTCGTATGTGGACAGGAAGGTCTTGGCCTCGGCCGGGCTCAAGAACAGCACAGCTGCTCGACACCCCGCCTAGGAACAAGAAGCGACGTCCCTAGCTTTAAACGTGACATTCAGGAACAAAGACGAGCGGCAACGCGCTCGCCTTTGTCCACCCCCCCCCCCCCCCCCCCACCCCCCGGCTACGTGCCTGCTCCGGTCCTACTAGCTTGTAAAAAAACATTCCAACTCAATATCGTTGCACGGCCCCTTCGAGCAAATTACGATATCTAAGCGACTTTGTAAACGTGAAATATTTTCTGCTCTGAACTGAAAAGACCTTTATTGCGAGACATTATAATTTTTTTCTTTTTAAGTTCACGATTGCTTATACTTTAATTGCTGAAGGAACTTATGAAATAGGCCCCATGCTGTTAATGTGGCTGTCGTCCTCGTTTACTGTAAGGCATATATCAGCAACACACACCGGTGACGCTAAACTCAGGTGCACTGCCTTACTTCGGTCAGGTGCTTGGTGGTGCCGAGCGCTTGCTGGACTTGGGTGAAAGAGGACCCCGGAGAATCATCCGAAACGACAGCGTCGATCCCGGTGTCTTTGGACACACTTCGGAAGGCGGCCGACAGCTCCGAGGGTCGCGTCGATGGCGACGAAGCCACGGCCACGCGAGTCCAGCCCAGGCGCCGCAGCATGCTCACCAGTGCCTGCGCCGACACCGGTCAAACTATCCACCCTCGTAGGGTATACATACAAGACAGAGAAAAAATGAAAGCCGTTTACAACTCCCTGTAACACCGAATTAGAGCGCAGCTCTTGAGGAGGAGGAGGGAAGGGTACTGAGGGTCACCTGTTCTCGGGGCAAGGGAAGGGGGGGTGTCACGTGACCTCGGGGGGGGGGGGGGGGGGTCATACGACCTTGGGGGGTCACGTGACCCCCCAGAAAAATTTTTACGCTAGATTTAGCGGGGAACTTTTTTCGCTAGATTTAGCGAGGAATTTTTTCCGCTAGATTTAGCGGGGAAATTTTTCCGTTAGATTTACCGGGGAATTTTTTCCGCAGGATTTAGTGGGGAAATTTTTCAGCTAGATTTAGCGGGGAATTTTTTTCCGCTAGACTTAGGGGGGAATTTTTCCCGCTAGATTTAGTGGGGGAATTTTTCCGCTAGATTTAGCGAGAAAATTTTTCCGCTAGATTTAACGGGAAATTTTTTCTGCTAGATTTAGAGGGTAAATTTTCCGGTAGATCTAGCGGGGAATTTTTTCTGCTAAATTTAGTGGGGAAATTTTTTCCGCTAGATTTACCGGGGCAATGTTTCCGCTAGATTTAGCGGGGAAATTTTTTCTGCTAGATATAGCCGAGAAATTTTTCCACTAGATTTAGCGGGGAATTTTTTCCTCTAGATTTAGCGAGGAATTTTTTCTGCTAGATTTAGCCGGGAAATTATTCCGCTAGATTTAGCGGGGAAATTTACCCATAATGCACCGTGCGGTTACGCCCACGGCGACGGCGACGCCTACGCCGACGGGAAATCCGCTCAAGCCGGAAACGGGCGCCTAAGAGCTGCGTTCTAAAGAGTCGTGAAAGCTGCAGCATACACTAATATGGTCTGTGCAGGTGAGTTCTACGACCAAGGGGATGTAATATAAGGGCTAATCGTCACGCAAAGCCGGATCCTTAACTAAAAAATCTGAATTACCTCTTTAATTTGTGCAAAAATGAACATAGACGGTTCTAATTAGAAACTTGCTGAGCGTTATCGAAAACCACGAAATCAGTAAATTTGAGAGACTTGGAGCGCGTGAGAAGTGCGGTGATGCGCTAAAGTTACCCCTCGTGCGACAGATGCGAGATTGCCGTTGCGGAAATGCGCCATCTGGGTTCTCGCGACGCCATCCTTGCTCCAAGGGGAAAGAGGGAGTCAGAAGGACTGGTCATCTGAGCAACCAATTTCCCCAAATGCTGTGTACGTTTTCTTTTCTTTTTTTGATTAAGCTGAGTCTGTTAGATTTTCTAAAACACGGGACCTCGCCCTTCCTGCTTCTCAGAAATTCACAGATTTCCAAGTGACAAGTTTTTCTTTTTCCTGGAACGAGCTAGCATTTTTAATTTCTCAATACCACAAAATACATCAATTGTTCATAAGACTCACATCTCAATGTCAAATAATGACCGTTTAGTATAAGAACTGTCTCGCAAATGGTAAACCCGAGAAACATCCGGGAATCATAGATGGAGACGAAGCAATACACTCTTTCCTGTATCTTCTCTCTACGTCTGCGCTAATACAGTTTAGAAGCAATACACAGCGGAAACTTAAATGAACAGCAGCAAAGCTACATTTAAAAGGTAATTGTTTAGTGCACCCCTCCTCTTTATCCTCAGGCCCCTTCATACGCATCCCATTCGCTAGACGCTCATGAGCCAGTAGTCATCGTTCTCAGTCTTCCAGGTAATCTTCAATCAACCAATCGAGGGATTGTGGATATCCGCCTCTTCGTCATGTACGTACTCTATGTCCCAGAGAAATGAACAATCGACTGTCTGAAACGCTATGGCGTAAGCCTCTCCTGGCGCTTACAAAATGGGAACGATTGCTTGCAGTAGCGGTATGTTCCAGGACCTTATACCAGCGAGTCCTGGCCGGCATGTGGCCCGCCAACCGCATGTTTGAGACGTTTGCTGTTTACACCTTTTTCCCTGACGTCACATCAGTGGCCATTGCGATGGCCTTGCTGCTGAGCGCGTACCTTCACAGCGGCACGCATTTTCCTCAATAGAATTTGCTTTTGTTCGCAAGAACCACTGGGAATGATCTCTAGGCCCCAGTCCGATGCGATGACGTCACGGGCAAGTCATGCATAGACGCTTTACACCCGCGCCAGATTAGAGCCGCCATTGCAGGCCTTCTCTTGCCTTACCGAGATGCTGAGCCACTGAAACCTCGTTGACGAGCTTCCACAAAGGCCTATGCTGGGGAGGACACAAGCTATAATGGCAATTATAACCTGTCCTGCGGCGGTAATGATAAAGTGAACGGAATAAGACAAAACACTAAAACTGAAGGTCCGTTATGGCAGCGCCCATGCACAGCTGCGGCAAGGCGTCTTATATCGTAAGCACGGTGGAAGAAACACATTTAGGTGATGACTTTCTGTCTGACGCGGTGGCCACATTATGTTCAGCGCACAGAGCGCGCTTCACTCGCACGGGGATAAATGGCGCCCAAGTATGGGGTCCCTCCCAAACCGACCGCTCCGGTTGTTTCTCCCAGCGGTATTAGCCCCGAGAAGTTCGCCTGGCGCCCCCTTACGGCGAACCGGGGTGACGTCACGGCGAGGAGAGAATTTTTCCCCGACTCGCCCCGCTCGCCCTGTGGAGGCTGTGACGACGCTAGCTGTCCGCGCGCTCGTTTCTATTTCATTTTTTTTTTGGCGTGTTTTTCGTAGGAAGTGTAAATTTTTATATGTGCCTTTATTGAGGTATGGCCTGTAGCTACAGGCGAAACTTCAAGCAACATTTTAAGCATGGCTGACAGGCCAGGCAACGCATGAACCACAGCTGGTATGTGAAAATAAAGAGATATGGCCACAATTGCAGGGGCATCACTACAGATTTACATCTCGCACAATAAACGCTGCTGATGGTCCGAATGAATTGGCAAATTATGTATGCTATTTTTTTTTGTATCTCTGTGTTTAAACAAGATCGCCGAAGCAGAAAAGCTGCATGCTGCTCGAGCTACGTGCTAAATACAGTCTCGACCATGGGGAGAGAATCACAAGTAGGACAGCCCAAGTGCAGGGGCAAAGTAAAAAAACAAACAAGGAACATTTATTATATACATTGCTCGCACTTTACCTTTGCTGGATTCGGATAGTATTTCAATGGACTACACGGGTGGTATCTGTGGACTTGTTTATATCAATCCTCAAGTAATATATAACAAATGTAAGTTATGGTGTCTAGCTCATTATAAGTCCATTAAGCCCTAAAATTGAGATTTTACTTAAATCGAATTGTCCTGAAGCTAAAGTACCGGAAGCTCTTCTCACGCAGACTGTCGCCCTTAACAGGTTCCACATTTTCTGCTACCAGTGCTGCATCTACCACTAGACAGACGTTCGAATGCTTGCTTTTACTCCTGTTTTCCTCTGTTGTCAGAGAGTCCAGCTGCAGGGAGTTTGGAGGCTGAGGAAGCTTTTGGGGACCTGCGGCAGTGACTCTTAAATGGAAATGACAATTCAGACTAAACGGTGTATTTTCCGTATACCAAAGACTGGAATAAAGAATGTCAGGAAAAAGTATAATCATTCCAAATTACGGCACTATTGCTGTGCATATTTTGGGCAGTTTACTATCATAGAGGCAACTGGGGGAAATTCGGCCGTTTTTGCTGCTACCAAACAAACTAATTTCCAGTAATTGCGAATCCTCTAAGAAATATGCCTGCATACGCGTATAAACTATATAATTAATTCAGGAAGAAGCTACATTTATGTAAAACAACCCTGTTCCATGAGCACTTCAAAGATCATCAGACGCAGGGCCTTTAAAACATCTGCAAACCAGCGCATGCAGAGTGGCAGCGCAGAGTCGGGGTCGCGAGCTAATTTGCCGACCACCGAAAGGCCCATGATATAAAGGCCGCTTCAGATGCCTTGAAAGCGGGATGTAATATCGTCCTAAATCATGAACGTGCAAGGAACAGAATTCCAGCGTCTGAAACACTTGCGTAACCGCTTCACCGACCCCTCTCAAGATTGCCTTGCATCGTGTGGACGGACGGGGAGGTTCATCGGCGTAATTGCCTCCGCCGATAGTTTTCGGGATTTGTAACCCAATTTTAAAGGTAAAAGGGACAAGCAGACTTATAAAATGTACGGAAGCACGTTAATATCGGCCTAACTCAACGTCTTGTACCCCGGGTAAACGAAGTCCGGCTCCTCGAAGAGCTTGCGGCACACAACGCCAAACCAGGAAACCGGTGCTGGGAAGCGACCCGATGCGAGATCGCGGAGCGGGGTACTCGCGCTGACGTCACGGTACACCTCACCCAATCAGGGCGCGGCGACCGCAGCGACGCTTGTGTTCGCTCTCGGGGCTAATACCTCATTCCATCGCTCACCGCTTCTTGTTGTACCTCACCGCCGCCACGCCGCCACCAAGTCGCCACCAAGTCGCCACCAAGTCGTCAGAGTCCGTAAATCTGTGTTATTTTCCTTCTTCTTCCTTGGGTTAAGGCTCACCTTCGTGCACTATGGTGGCACCATGCATGTGATTGACACAGCACTAAAGCAAAACACGAGGCCAGCCACTGGCCACAGACAACCACCATACCACCCCACCGCGAAAAAGGCAAGCACGCTATGCGGCCGGCACCGTGGCCGCCGAGGAGGGACCTCATACCACAGCGCCCTCCGCGGCGGCGCGGAGCTAACTACTGGTTCGAGGCTAGCTCCGAACACGATCTGGTCGCTCGTTCCCTGCGGGAAGAGCGGCCAGAGTCATCACCTAAATGTGATTCTTTCACCGTGATCGTAAGTGACTGGTGACATATATTGTACCCTGGCCTGGGAGACGGCCGAAGGTGCCGTGCTGTACACGTCTGCTAGATGGGGGACGCCCTCAGAGTAGAGGTCGCTGGCCGCCACGGCTGGGATGGAGAAGGACGCGAACGTCTTGGCCGTCGTCTCCATGACCCGAGCATCGCCGTACAATATGGCACCTGCGCAGAACCAAGTTATACACTCTAAAATCTACACTCGGATACAAGTTCAGAATTCAACAAATAAACACCACTACGTTCCAGCCACGGCACCGAATCGTTCCGCGGACCAATAAGAAAACGCAGTAGCCACGACGAGTTAGGAAACGTTGGCGCGAGGTGCGCTTCTGGGTAGCGGACTATTTGCAGTTGCGGAGGGACAGCGGCTGGCGGTAGTAAGGATGCGGGAATATCTTCTGGCGTATTCTTAGCGAGCGAGCTCGTACATTTTATGAAAGCCTTTGGTTCGAAGACATATTGACGTGCCCATGAAACGAAATATAACTTACAACTTAACAAACAAAGAAAAAGAAATAGAGATTATAAATTTCGGTTGTGTAGTGCTAGTAATTAAATTAATATTATGCTCTTTAAGTATCAAATTGGTATTTCTCATAACTATCGTTATTACAGTAATTTAGTAAATATCGATATGCATAGACACAAAAGAAAATCTGAGCTGGTACACGACCATGATGTCACTCTACATACAACTTTCTGCTGCAATAGCCATTCCAGCGATGTTATCCTCCTAGCTGTCTGCCAAGATTCCAAGAATTCTTAATGCCACCATCTGCAAAACTTCGGTTAATGCAGGACTCTTTTTTTTTTTTTTTAGAGTTCATTTGTTTTATTACGTACGTAGCAACATCCACTCAAATGTGATAGAATAGAGCGTATATCGTACCATATCCTAAGGCCATCCCGTACAATAAATGCCAGTGTCATATACGTATAACCATATAAAAAAACTGGGCAAATAAGGGTATACATATAATATAACTTTATATGACCTTATTTGCCTAATTCTTAAGGCGACCATATGTGGCATTTCTGTACGGAAGAATGCGTGCTTACCAAATATGGGCGGTACCCTGGTGTTGGGGCAGGCCATGGACCTCACGTGTCCCGCCTGCTGGACGGCGCGGAAGCTTTGCCGCAGGGCTACCTGGTCCTTGTCGCACGTGTCGTACAGGTACACGCCTGAGCGGTTCAGAGGAAAGGAAAGAGTTACTACTCTCTTCCGCGATCTGGCGTGTAGAGGGCGAGTCAACAAAGCGAAAGGCGGAGTGCCAAAGGGAAGTACGAAGGGAGACACAAGGACACAAGTCGCTTGGATATTTCTCGAAGATGGCGTACGCCAAGCGTTCAATTTCGTTAATCCTATTAGATTCATTTACTTCACTTAATTTACTGTTTTGTCAAAACTAGGAGGAGTTACGGACAAGAGTGAGTTCATTTGCGAGGAAATACGTAAATAAAAAGAAAAAATTAAAAAGGCAAGAACAAAAAATGATTACGGGACCTCAGTACAAAGTTATGGCAATTTTTTTTTTAATAACAGTTTTCGAGACAATGACGGCGGGAGGGCGATAAAATATATCTGGAACGCTAGCAGTAAATCTAAGGGCCCCGAGAAATTGATGTTCGCGTGGCGAATCGAATAACTATCAGTTCGAAAAAAGTCGAGATGTCTTCGAAATGGCCAGGTAACTTGATTGAAGTAGACGGCCCTTGTCGCTTGTTACATGCTCAAAACCTAACGCTCTTGAATTTTTTTTTTATATTTAACATTAGAATGCTTTTTTTATTTTATAAAATCATTTTATGTTTATAGCTTATATTTTATTTCGATAGTTTATTTATTAAGCTTTGCACTCCTCGATACACCTTATTGGCAATTTTCAGCAGGTGTTTTCGAGCCTGCTTTTACAGCTTCGTGTTTAGACCACCAGTCGCTCTTAATATTTGAACTGCACACTGAAAGGAGAAAGGGGGGGGGGGGGGGGGTGCTTGAATTTGCTGCGACAACTTTGGGTTGTAGTCATTAGGTGCCGTCGTTTTCGCAGAAGTCGAAAACAGCGTCATTCAACGCCTCAAGGCTAATAAGTTTGTTTTGTCCTATACGGTCATGGCGGGAAATCGTGGTAGTCGATGGAAATCCCAGGAATGACGTGGAAACATAAAGCGCCCTTGCTGTTATGTTACGGTGACGCAGAGACGTAGCTCCTTCGACGCAGATAAATTGCAATCTCTGTCATCGACACGGGAACTCCCTTCGTGGGCTTTTTTTTTTATGTATTTCCTTAGCAAGTTGGACGCTTCTCCCCACTCTTCGTTATAAAGAAAACGGTAAAAATAACTTACGACAGATTCAACTTAGTCTCCTTTTCCATCGATAGGCAGCCAAACGAGTTAGTCTAAATGCAGGACTTTACGGAGCGAAGAAAACGACGAATTTCCCTCGGCGTCGTTGGCACTGCGCTTGGCATCAGAACAGTGGCTGTTCTTGCACCGCGCGAAAAGTGAACGTGCCACCGGGCAACGTTTGCCAGTCATTCGCCAGATATTCGCCCCACAGAGTCCAGCCTTCAAATTCAGAGAACGTGGCGTCCGTATACACACTCCCCACGGATGACTAGATCGTGAACGCAGCTCGGTAGCCGCGTCCGCGGCACGCATATTCCCCACAAAGGCAAAATAGGCGGTTCCGCGCAGAGCGCTTCCTCGGACGTGATTCTGCCCAAATGGACGCTGCAGCGGTGGGCCCGTCCGGAGGAGATATATAGCCATCCATCGCGGGATTCCGCCCCTCGTTGTTCCTTGGGCGGAGGTCGGCTGCAGTGTGGCTTGGAGCCGCCCTCGCGAGCTCCGAGAAGGTACGACCTAGCCTCTGACTCCGTTCGCCTCTAAACTGATAGTGCGGTGAGAGTTACACGCGCTCGCCGGACCTACCAACCGCCTCCCTTTCATCAGCTGACCCCACTCTCTGTGCGTGGGTGTATATGGGGCGGGAGCGTGATCACGTGACGGTTCCGACGAACAGGTAGCTTCCACAGCACTGTCAGCTTGGGGCGTGAAGGGAGCGTAGGCAGGATGACGCGCGAAAGTGGTCTCCGCGCGGATCACGCGCGCGCGGTTCCGACGTTTCATTGGCCGACCGCGAAGTTAAGGCTCGTTATGTCATGCGTGCAGCCCCTCGCGCCGGGTCGCGCTGCGCCGTGCCTGACCCTCTGGAACCAACGCAATGAATCGCCCGTGGCAATTGCCGCGCACGCGGCCAGCTCTGGAGGACGTCACTGCGACCCTCTGAAGAGGCGATCGCCGTTCAGCCCTGGCCATTGCGAGTCATGTGACCCGTGCCCGCGCTCTGCGCGACACTGTCAGTGCGAACACGATTTTGGTGCTTTTTCGCATTTTACTTCGAAAGGGTACTGGCGAACATCAAATTTCAGCACTTCGGTTAGTACGCCAACTGCGCACTCTCCACCTCTATAGAGAAAGAGAGAGAGAGACAGAGAAACAGAGAAAATAGACGATGGCTTTTTCAAGCTAACAGTGTCGCAGAGGGTGCGCATTCAGAGGTCCATTGATGGCATACTGCACCAACGCAATGAACTCGGAACGCCGATCATTGGTATCCCTTTCATCCGTTCAACAAATAAGAAGGGCGATCGGAATCAGGTTCCAACGATTTTGCTACTTTATTGCCTAAACGGGTGTACGCCTTTTCGCCACAGAGACTCCATGTCTACTTGACCATAATAATATGCACCTTCCTCCCAGGCTGAATGCGATGATTGCTGTTCCGAGTACATTGAGATTGGGATGGCTCAATACTCGCGACTCCAGCGACCTATAAGAGACGCCGCTATCGGGAAAATATGGCGGTCTAAAACAAGTCGTACCGTGCCATGTGCCAGCTCAACCCACAACGCTGGGGCGTCAGCGAGCGAGCATTGGACTCAAACCGGCTTGCCCCGCTTTTTATCCTCCATGTTTCAAACCTGCGGCGATGCGTTGTCGTAAGCGAGCTTCCAGAGGCTCGACCTTTTTCGAGGAAGCGATGAAAGGACTGTTTACTGTCCTTCGACGGTGTTGATGACCGTCGATAAAGGCGGAGTGTCTGGTTCACGCGGTGCGTAGGTTGCGTTTAGAGCAACCTGGGAACAAGCCGATACTATACGGTTACGACAGAATCACCGGGATAACTGTCCTATCGCGAAAACCACCGACAATATGTAATCAAGGAAGCCACGAGTGACGAGCAAAAATCGCGAAAAGACCTGTTCCGACCAGTTCATTGTTCTTGGGACCTTTTCCCCTAGGTGCCGTCAGTTTTGCTGGTGTCGCGAATGCACTAAAGAAGCACAAGTCAAGGGCCCAGCGCACGCAGACATTCGCCGCTTCGAGAAGCGTGCAATGTACGCGCCACACGCACAAACGCCGAAACTAGAGCCACTAAATGAGCTGCGCTTAGAGTATCGGCACTCCGTTCCCCAACATTGTTGTGAGCGGCACCATTTTGGGGCTTGTGCAGACCAGACACAACTGTCAATCGTCATGATTCAAAAGTGCGACTTCCTCAACATTAGACTCGGTGTTAGGAAGCTCATGCAATATTGATTATCTCTGTAGCGAACTGTTTAATCATTTGTTAAGGGCGGAAAAGCGTTTCCTGTGATTTCAGATAAAGCTTAAGATAACTGGCAACCATGATGTTAAGCCACAATATGGCCAAGTGTCGTTACTCTGAAGCGTAGCTTATTTAGTGGCACTAGCCGAAACTGGCGACGGGTCAGAAGCCGTTTTCTGACACAAAAAGTGCAGGGCGTCCCTTTCGTATGCTGAGCCTTCAGCGCGCGCTCATTGCATTTTGTTGTTGGCTGCGCGTGCACCAAACTCTTCTCGAAAGTAGAATGCTCACAGTGGCGGCGGAACTTCTATACTCCGTTTCACCTTACGTTGTACCGCAGCGAAGGCTGGAAGCGCGAGCTCATTGCGTTGACAGCTGCCCTTACTGCACGAGGGCTTGTGCCGCCGAGATCTGCCCCAGAGCAAAGAGCTCGCGCTTACAGCCTCTCCTGCGGTACAACATAAGGTCCGGATCTAATGTCGCAAAGGATGATGGGGGTGTCACTGGTCCCGATATTTCGGGCCGTTCAGAGCGCAAGTTTAGAGCTTGCTCCCATTTACCGTCAGCCAAGAACAACGACCCTGATTGGGCGAAATGCACGTTTAACGTGCATAAACGTCCATTCCCCCCAATCAACGTATAGCGTGCATTCTTGACAGACAGTAAATGAGAGCTAGTTTTGTAAATGCGCTGAGAATAACGACCTCAAATATATGACGTCTAATACCCCCTACAAAAGTAATCAAGGTTGAATTGTAAATCGAGCAGGATTTAATTACTGCCTTTTAACCGATCACACAAACTTAAAAGCTTGTAATTAGTAAATTTACAGCTCGGCTCAATTTTCGAGGCATAATTGCTTTAAAAGTTGATGGACTCCGGTTTTTGAAGAATTTGTTTTTCTCCCACAGAATATGCATACCATCAAAAAAATGTCTCAAAATGTGTGACGTAACAACATAGAAACGCAACGCAAGTTAAAAGCGCTAAATAAATTCAGCGAGCTTATACATCCCTCGGAATTTAGCGGGAAGCGTTTTCCGCGGTACATTTAGCGGGGAACCTGAATTGTCACACCGCCAAATTTAGGTGAACTTAGCACGATCCCCATCTCAGAAAGAAAGTTCCTAAACACACGCGCGCAGCTCAAAACACGTGGCTAATTCGGTGTCCCCCGATTTTATCCGTATATAGCATCACACGCCGCAGCCACACCTCAATAAAATCATACACAAGACATTCTGAAGACACTGTCTGCCCCCCCCCCCCCCCCCCCCTCCGTCAGCCAATCAGCGTCGAGCCTCGCGGCCACGCTTTTATCCAGGCTTCACTGTCTTCACAAAATGCCGAAGTACATACACGAAACAGCTTGCAAACACTGTCTGACGCCTGATTCTTCCTTGCATGATTGTCCTGTAACATTGGTCGTAAATAAACGGTCGTCAGACATGTTTTAAGCAAACATGGTTCGAAGATTTTTGAGGCGTGTGCGCACACAATTGTGTCATCGCGTCTGCGGTGAACGCTGCGTCTTTTGTGTAATGTATAGAATCGGTGCTGCTGCAGCTTTAAGATACATTTATTATTTTCTTTCAAATACTCGTTGCGAAGGAGAAAACCCACCGATGTTGAAGTCCGTGGGCGCCTTTCTGAAGTTGGCCTGCTGCGCGGCCCAGATGCCGGCGAGGGCGAGGCGGACCAGGCGCGGGCTGAGGACCTCGCAGGGCTTTCCGGTGCCGTTCTCGGACGTCCTGAGCGGCGCCAACAGTGCCACGTTGGCCTGTCCCGGGTAGATGGCGGGCGCCGGGTCCTCGGACCAGCGGGCCGCCGACCTCCGGCCTCCGCTGACTACCGCCAACAGCGCCAGGAGGACCGCCGGCAAGAGCGCTGGCGTCCGAACACGCCTCGTCATGGCCCCCGCAGTGTGCACCCGGCGGCAGGCCGCGGGCTGGCTTCGGCTGTAAGCGTCAACCACAACCAGATGTTAGCGATAGGTTTTCTATATGTTTGGTCGTTCGTGTTGCAACTCAAATGTTGGAACTTGACTGGGGTGCTAGCCAACTGATACTGCTTGGCCTGAGGATAAAAATTTGTATCTTAAAAGCTTTTTAAAAGATGTAAGCATTTAGAATTTTTTATATAAAAAAGGAACAGTTAGGTATCATGAAAGTAATTTCTTTCCTTTTTAAATTTTGTTATGCAAAAAAAAAAAAAAGAAAGAAAAGAATGCTTTCGTTAACGTTTTTATTGCCGCGTTTTTATATATATAAATAAATTAATTTTTGCGTAACCTTTCTGTACAAGCATCTGAAGTGATACTAGTATTCACTAAAAAGTTTGAAAGATAAAAAAAAATAACGAAAAAGACTTAAAAAAGGGTTTAAAATATTAAAAAAAAAAAAAAATAAAAACCAACGAGCCCTTTCCGACCGAATTTTTCTTACCAATAAATCGCAGATTTTCAGTCGAGTGTTTTCAAAGTTTGCTACAAGCGAGAAAACAAAATTTAGACAAAAATACCTTGGTCGCGTGAGCATGCGCTAAAGAAAACCACTTTCTAAAGCCACCGTCGTCGCAATCTTACCTCCCACGACGTTGTACAAGGTATATACCTCGTATGAATGCGGCTGAGTATAAAATGCATCCATGTGCACACAGTGTAGCTGTACTGCGTCAGAATGACAAAGCTGCACAGAGCGTGAGGATATCGCAACATCTGTGCCGGCTATCCGTCCTCACGACACCTGCGTTCCCGGAAGAGCGTGTGACTCTAACAAGTGCGGAGATGCGCGAGCAGAGGCGATGAAGCGATAGTGAGAAGGCAAAATTCACTGCACGATCTTCACTTGTAACGACCAAGAAGAATGCAAATTTGATTGTTGTTCATTTTTGTTTTGGCGACGAAGTTCTCAGAACGCGGACGAAGGAGAGAGATATATGTGTCTGAACAAGGCCAGCCAAAGCGGCGAAAGTTTGCTCGGGTTTCGCGAATCTGCCGGTAGGGGCACTGTTTGTTTAGGAGCCTTCGTACTTCGTAGGCTACGCGGGTCACGCGCCACGTAGGGGCCTTGTAAACGTGTGCGCGAATACGGACGGTTCCTCGAGTGGCCCTAATCGGCCTCCTACGACCCCAAACGCGTTGCGCCATCTCACGGTGTCTGTCAGAAATGCGAGCGAACCTTTGCCACACTTGTTCCATAGTGAAGCGCCGTTGTTCAAACATCTCTTCTTTTTTTTTGTATTTCTTCTTCCATCGCGTCTCAGAGGCTGGCATGTTGCTTCTGAGAAGAAGCTTCTGAGAAGAAACATGAAAGATACTTCAAAATTATGGTCCTTGTGATGCTATGCCATACTCCATTAATCATCTATTACTGTTTAAGAGGAAAATGACAAGATAGAAAGAATGACATGACAAAACGTGCCACGGCTGGAATGCAGAACCACGGTATATACGTCTAAATCTTCAACAGTACATCGGCACGCGTGTGTGTAAGGCGGGGATGACGGGGACAAGTGTCTCGACCGTCGTTATGGGCAAGGACCGTTCCTCTAAGTGACCGTGAAGCCGAGACAGCCGTACCCTTGCCGCCTCCGGCAGTGGCACGTCTCTTCCTCCTACCGACTATTTCCGAGCACCAAGAATGCATATGTACACGGACAGATTTGCTTTGTCTTCGACTAGACCTCCGTGGTTTCGTTTTACGGCTGTCCGCCCAGGCGCTGTGCTCTGTCACGGCACGGAGTCACCGAGGCGCGTCTCGGAGGACCCGTCTCCTGGTGCGTGAGCGGCGAACTTAGTTCCCCCGTTGTCGGGCGGTTGGTCGCGCTCCAACGAGCTACCCCGAAGAATGGACGGCGAGAAGGGATCCAGGGAGAAGCCGCAGAAGACAACAATCGCAGACCGATGACGTTTCTTTGAGCCGCGACGAGAGAGACAGGACCACCTCGGCGAAAGCCGTTTGCGTCCAAAAAGACGCCGTTGCCGTATAGAACTACGGTACAAACTGAAAGAGAAGCCCTTGGTATTACGCCATTGTTAGTGGATCCCAGACAATGCATCCCGATCTTGAAGCTCCGCGGATGGATTGTTTGGGGCGTACGTGGCTCGGCAAGTGAGTAGTATGCATGGCGCGTCATGTCGGAAAGCAACGTAAAGTAAGGCATACGCTTTAAACAAAGAGAGTTTTGTTAAGAAGAATGATCCGTTAGAGGGCTTCAGTGACGCGCTCCAATTCCCGCCGTAATTTTTTTTAACTCCTTTTGTGGTTACAGGGAAAATACGTGCCTGAAAGAAAATTTAAGAAATCATTAGAAAAATATGCTTTGAGCGGAGAGGGGAAATGGCAATCCGGGTACTGCACAATGAAATAAGAATGATGTGAGAATATATCGCGCAGCACTACAAATATCATAACGACTGCTGCCCAATGTGCGCGCATATTTATTTTTATGGTTAATAGTACACTCAACCTTCACTTAATTTTCAAACGCTGTCGAAGGTTGTCTTATCTTTGTAAACAAATTCAGAGTAAAATCAAAAATAAAACAAGGAAAAATATTTTTTGAAGTTTCTCACGGACCTTTCGCAAAATTACTCAAACAAGAAGGATGCTGGGGACGCAGGTACCCGTTTTCGTCTTATATGCATAAAATATTGGAAGTAAACACGCAAAAGAAGGCGTAAACGAACTGTGCGAAGTTTCATTTTTTTCTAAATTTTTGCTTGCTAACATTTACAGCTGCACAAGGAAGCACGTGTGGTTTGTGTAACTATTTAAGTATACTTTCAGCGCTCTCCTTGGTGCTTGCTCAAATTATCAAAAGAAATGTTATGCAAGCGCATACCGATTTTCGTTTTGATTCTGTACATTGCAGAAATTCGTAAAATGCAGCATGGAATGACGTACTTCTGACGCAAAACATAACAAGAACAAGAACGTAGATCAAGCGCCGTTTTATTTATTTCTCAGTCAAGCGTCGTTTTTCATCCTAATTCCAAATGTTAGCCGCGCGTCGAATAGGCCAGCTTTTCATTTAGCAATATAGAAACACAGCACATAAGCCACCAAGCACAACTCGTAGCTCTAGTGGCCAAGCAATTTCGTCAGCCATCTTCGAAGCTTCCAAACAATACACGAACACGTTTTGTTTACTCACTGAAGGTACGTTTTCACACACTCTACCTCAGCACAGTGCTGAAGCACCCTGAATTACGTAATGGATCGTTTCGCAGGAAGCTTCTTCTTCTTCCTTACCACACAGTCTGCAAACACGCGCCTCCATTGTTCGCGCAAACAAACGAGCTAGGAGTCCCCTAATAGCTTTAGCCGATTGATTATGCGTGCGCCGCGTCGACATACACGCCATCTTGAACCCATTAGGCCCGCGATATGCCCCGTGCATCGTACTACCCTCCCTGCGGCGCGGCTCGCACCGAGCACAATCCACGAGGAGGCAGTGCACTTGTTTACGAACTCCAGGCTCGTCCGTCGAGGCAGTTTCCTCAACGCGACCGCGGCGTCGGGCCGTTCGTGCGATCCTCGGCGTCCTTGAGTGTCGCTCGGCGCTGCTGCTTCTTCTTGGCTCTACGTTCGCTTCCATGCGATTTCTTTTTTTTCCGCCACCGCGTTCTGTGTGCTGCTGCCGGGGAGGACAAATGTCGGGGACGGGTTCACCTCCGTTGGCGGCTTCGCGTTCCTCTTCTTTTCATGCGGCGGATTAGCGAAGCGGCCGCCGGCAGCATGCAGGCCATTCCCGGGACGTGGGAATCTTGCCGAGCAGTCGGCAGCCTTATACTCCGTTCAACCCTACAAAGCCGGAATCACACTGATCATACATATACAAAAAACAGTCGGCAAACACGAGTTACCGCAATATCCGCGGTTCGAATGCCGCGTGCCCGTGTTTCCCCCTCGAATTCGTTGTCAAGCGGCATTCGAAGCACGGATCTCGCGGTGACTCGCGTTCGAATCCGTTCGTAAACCGTCATTTGTATATGATGGCTTAAGCTGACAGTGCGGCGGAAGCTACGTGGTCGTTTTAGATCAACCACGCGTATAACTTACGTCACTAGATCACGTTCCTGCTTATACGAGGCACTGTATACGGTGTACGCGCTTCGGAGTAACGACACTCTAGCTATCTCTTGATTCTTAATATCATTGTCGCCAGTCATACGAAGATTTATCTGACATCACAGGAAACGTCTTTTTGCGTCCTCCGAAAACGTTAAAACTGTCTGCGACGAATCGCTCTGTGGTAGGGCACCCTATACTCTGTGGTGTCTGTTGTTCCTATGCCCAACAATCAGCAGAACTTGCCCAACAATCAGCACTTGTGAATCTCATACAAAAAACAAAACAAAAAAAACGACGGTTTGTAGACATTATTTGAGGCGCGTCTCTCCCTTGTTTTTTTAGTCTTAGGCTAGGTGGCGCAAGCTACTGCCCACTATAAAGGGTATATAGCCATTAACATCCATCCTTCTTTGTATACGGCGGCCCTGTCACATTGGTCACACTAAAACCATCTGCAGACGCGTTCGAAGCGTACATATGGACGAGGTAAACATGCTTCTACGTCATGTCTGTAGAGAAACGCCGTGTCTTTTGGAAAGCGTACGATATGTTCTATAGTAATCCGAGAAATGCAGCGGCGATATTTAAAGCGAGCACCTCCACTCCCCTCATCCACATACCGGTGCGCACAGAGCGGGTACAGATGATGAAAGGGAAGAGTTCGAATGGTCCGGCGAGTCCGCGTATTGCTGCCCACCGCAGTGTCAGTTTAGGGGCGAACGGAGCAGGTGCCACCGGCATGCACGAATGCACGCCGGCGGAAGCGTCTTCGGAAATGCCTCTTGCCAGTTGTATCGGTTCTTCCTGCGGCGAGGAATACGGCGGCGACAGCGACGAGATTATACCCTGCGCCAAAAATAATAATAATAATAACAACACAGATTTT